TATGGCTGAAGGAACTGGTGGTACTCAGGCTAGAGGAAGAGATTAAGGAGAATCATGCTAACCTCCCTCCTTACAAAAGGATGGAATGATGGTTATAAGGCAGAACTTTGGCTGAAGAAAAAGGAATTCATTTCAGCTTAGAGAAAAATGCCTTAACATCGGAGGTATTAAGAACAGAATTTAGCTGCTTTTCAAAGTAATAAGTTCCTCTTCCTTGAAATTACGCTGGTATTAGTCAGAAAGACTGGAGTCAGACAGGTCTGAGATATTGGTAAAATGACTCACAATGTGCATTTCGTGGGATACTGGGTTTGATGACCAATAAGGGCTCTTTTAGGAGGAATTCTATGTCCTGGGAATGTCATTCAAATTAGTCATTCAAACATCACAGCAGGTTGGTTTTTATTTAGCATAAGGGACACTGGAAATAACGTGACTGTCTTCAAGATTTAAAAATCTACTTAGCTCTAACAGATTCTGAATTAATAAGATGCAAAGACATATAATAAACATGAAATATTACCTTGACAGGATATGAAAAAAGCTTAACAAAACCGAAGTCATCTCCAGTGGCTAAGAGGGCGCAGTCTTTGGTGAGGCTGGCCGCATTGACGTCAGTCACATCGCTGTGTGCAGGCCAGATGCCCTCACAGGTGGGCCCCAGGACACAGGTCCACGTGTCCCACTCGAGTTTCTCAATCTGCAACAGAAGGAAAAGGACATTGTAGCTTCGTCCAGCCTAGTTTCTCTCTATGGTGTTTAAGAAAAACAAGTCATGGCTGCGTAGTTGTAAATGATGACTTGGCAGCATCAGGAGTCTGTGTTGTGTGCCGAGGTGTCCGCACCCTAAGTAGCACACTCAAAACCAACTCTACAGTCAAATGTCCAAAGGCATATTTTGGAATTGTGGAAATCTGACAACAGTAAAGCTTTTAAAGTTTTTAACTAGACTCTTAGCATTGTATAAGCCATAAACTATATCAGGGTTTCTCAATCCCCAGTACTGATACCCTAGGCCAGATAGCTGTTGTAGGCAGACAGCATAGCAGGATGTACAGCAGCACCCCCAGCCTTCACCCATTGGATGCCAGAGCCACACCCTTGTCCACAGACATCACTATAAGGGCTTAGACCATAACTACTGCTGGTTGAGAAATTCTGAGACGTTTTTCTGGCTGAGCAGTACTGAACCTAGTTGATCAATGAGACAATCATTTTCAAAGTGCTTTGAAAACTTACAAGGTACTAAGATATAATTTTTCTTTAATGATAGCTTCCTTGGAGGAAAATATAATCAGATCTGCAGTTAGCTTATTATCCTATGTAATGTAGAGAGATTATTTTTAAAACGTGAAGAAGGGATGGGTGAGAATGTTGAAAGGGGTGACACTGATCAAGATGCAATGTATTGGGCTGGGAAGGTGGCTCAGTGGTAGAGCGCTTGCCTCGCATGCATGAGGCCCTGGGTTCAATTCCTCAGCACCACATAAGCAGAAAAAGCTGAAAGTGGTGGTGTGGCGCAAGTGGTAGAGTGCTAGCCTTGAGCTGAAGAGCTGAGGGACAGTGCCCAGGCCCAGAGTTCAAGCCCCATGACTGGCAAAAAAAAAAAAAAAAGATGCAATGTATTCATAAACTGCTTTGTTAAAGCAAGGCCTTTGTACAACTTTTTTATTTTATTTTTTAAGATTTTTAAATTATCTTTAAGTAGCTGTACCAAGAAGTTCCCATTCTACAAAACAGTATATGAGTACAAAGTGTCTGACACCACTGTCACCATCTCTCTTAAACCATCCCGTCTCACTTTTTCCTTTAATTGAGATTAGGTGATTACATAAATTTCACAGTATTTTGTAATAGCGATACTTAGAGTCACAAACACATTTTAACTTTCACAAGGCAAATTGTCATTATCGTGGTCTAGACAGTTTGTGAATTCTATGAGCTTTGACAATATAGGTTATTTTTTCCACATCAGGTGATGTTTACATTTCTTTCCTTTTGATTAGTGTGGGCTGTTCCCGCTTATTCTGTTCCTCCTCCTGGCTTCCCTCTGTTGCATCTATGTATCTACCATATATATGGTCTAGAACATGGAGTCATTTAGCAATGATATGACAAAATGGATGGCTATCCTTTGTTTCTTGAGTCCTGTTACTTTGCCATATCTTCTTGTATTTTGGCTTTAGCATCCACATATCAGGGAGACCATGTGCCATTTGTCTCTTTGTTCTTGGCTTACTTTGCTCAAAATAATCTGCTCTAGTTTCATCCATTTCCCTGCAAATATTATTATTTTGTCCTTTCTAATGGCGGCATAATATTCCATTGTATATAGGTACCACAATTTTTGGAACCACTCATCAGTAGTGGGGCAGCTGGGTTGTTTCCAGATCTTGGCTATTGTGAACAGTGCTGCAATATACCTGGAGGTGCCTGTGTCTTTGTGTACTGCTTCCTGTTGCTCAGGATAGATGCCTAGGAGTGGTATGACTGGGTCATAGGGGAGGTCTATATTTAGCTTTCTGAGGTATCTCCTGACTGCTTTCCAAAGTGGTTCTATTAGTATCATTCCCACCGGCAGTGTGATAGGATTCCTCTTTCTCCACATCCCCTCCAGCATTTGTCGTTGGCTGACTTTAGGATGTGACCATTCTGACTGGGGTAAGGTGGTATCTCAGTGTTGTTTTTATTTGCATTTCCTTTACAGCCAGGGATGGTGAACATTTCCTCATGTGTTTCTTTTCCATTTTTATCTCTTCTTTGAGAAGTCTCTCTTTAGTTCCCTTGCCCATTTCATGATTGGTTTGTTAGATTTGTGAGGGGTTAATTTCTTGAGTTCCCTGTATATAATGGGTATTAGACCCGTGTCTGATATTTTGCTGGTAAATATTTTTTCCCGATTAGTTGGCTGTCTTTTTAGTTTGGTAGCTATTTCTTTGTCTGTGCAGAAACTTTTTATTTTAAGGTAGTCCCATGTGTGGAGTCTCTCCAATTTGTTGTGACCCTGGGACTCAGTTCAGGAAGTTCCTGCCTGTGCCTGTAAGTTCAAGTGTCTCTCCTATTCTGTCCTGCAGTAGTTTCAGAGTATCAGGTTTGATGTTAAGGTCTTTAATCCATTTTGAGTTGATGTTAGTGCATGGTGATAGGCTGGGGTCCACTTTTCCTTTGTACAACTTCTAAAGGTCAATAAAAAATATGAACAAAGGGGCTGGGAAGGTGGTTCAGTGGTAGAGCACTTGCCTTGCATGCATGAGGCCCTGGGTTTGATTCCCCAGTACCACATAGCAAAAAGAAAAAAAATATGAAAAAAATGGGAAGAGCTATTTACATTGTGTTGCCAAGAGCATATATTTTATTTTTAAAAACTGTGTGTCTGAAATTCATAGCTAGAAGATGTGCAATATGTATAGATTATATTCTGAGAAAATTGTGCTAATTCTTTTTTTCTTTCTTTTCTTAACAGCAGCCCTATACATGTATTAGGCTTTCCTAGCAATTTTATTTCATTTACTTTTTGTTTTTATTATTATTACCTTTAAGCAGTTGTACAAAGGGATTTCAATTCATTCGTTTATTCTGTGTGTGTGTGTGTGTGTGTGTGTGTGTGTGTGTGTGTGTGCACGTGCCCCATCCCTTAGCTTTTTCATGGAAGGATGGTGTTTTACCACCTGAACCACAATTCCACTTCTGACTCTTTAGTAGTTAATTGGAGATAAGAGTCTCATGGATTTTTCTGGCCAGATTGCCTTCAAGACTCAGATCTCAGCCTCCTGAACTGCTAGGATTACAGATGTAAGCTGCTGTTGCTCACTCATTTACTTTTATATGAGATCAGCAAAGCATGTTAAAGAATTGTCTGAAAAGAATATTTTAAAAAAGAATCACTAGAGAATTGTATCTAAGATTAAAGCCCAGACTTGTCCCTTTGGCTTGGAACTGCTCTGCACTTTACTATTGCAGCTGGCCCCAGCGCTGCTGATTCCCAGTGCTCCTTACTGTTTCTAAACAGAAATTATAGGATAAGAATATAGCTACAATTTTGCATCACCATATGTCAGGTGCTGTACTATGCCTACTTTGTAATCACTCAAATTTGCCCTTATTTAATAAACTGTTTCTTTTGAAGATATGAAGATTTGGAATGACTGGTGGCTAGTTCAGTGAATTAAGGTCTTAGGCAGAGTCCCAGAGTGAAGTGACTCACGGTGGCTCCTCTGGCAATAGCCTCCATTTCCGGAGGCAGAAATGGAGTCCTCCAGCCTCCCTTCATATCCTGCACCAACCTTCACAGAGAGAGGAGCAGGCACCTATCCCTGGTAATTCTGGAAACAGGCTTTTCAGCTTTTGACTCTCTCAAGCTCCAGGTTCCATTTCTGACAGCCTCCCTGTCTATCTCCAACCGTCCAGTGATGCTGGCCTCCAGTGATGATGGGCAGGAGAGTGAGCACTGTTGCTCACTCTGAAGATGCCTCATCAGAACACCCTTGGACAGATGAGGACTTGTGCTTACCAAAGGAAGCAAATGTGCAAACTTGTTTGAAACTACAGAAATTGCACTCAAAATGGGATATTAAGAATGACCCCTGTGGCTCAGTGGTAGAGCACTTGCCTTGCATGCCTGAGGCCCTGGGTTCGATTCCTCAGCACCACATAAGCAAAAAAAAAGAAAAAGAAAAAAAGCCGGAAGTGGCGCTGTGGCTCAAGTGGTAGAGTGCTAGCCTTGAGCTGAAGAGCTGAGGGACAGCGCCCAGGCCCAGAATTCAGGCCCCACGACCAGACACTGCCCCCTCACCCCAAAAAAAGAATGACCCTTGTGACTTGTAAAACTCAAAGGGTCAGACCTTCTTGTTAAGAACTCTGAAACTCAAATGGAAACAGAGTACTCCAGGGTCTTTTGTTCCTTTGCATATGGAGTAAGACAAATTTGTAACTATGTCACAGTTAACTATGTTAACCGTGCCAGGCACCCTAAGGCCTCGTTCTAATCCACAGAAAAACCCAGCTTCCAGGAAGGCATTCGTTTGTGGATTTAAATTTTCATATAGGTTTCAGTCCAACAATTGAAAGATTATTTATGCAGCTAAGGATACAAGGAAAAGAAGACAACAGTCTGGTCTCCACTGGAATTGTCAGACTGTGGTTAGTTTTCATTTTGGAGAGTACTTTCTCAGCTGGCACCAGTGGCTCACACTTGTAATTTTCGCTATTCAGGAGGATGAGATCTGAGAATCGTCATTTGAAGCCAGTCCATAAAACTCTCTCTCTCTCTCTCTTTTTTGGTTGGTCATGGGGCTTGAACCCTGGGCCTGAGCGCCGTCCCTTAGCTCTTCAGCTCAAGGCTAGCACTCTACCACTTGAGCTACAGCACCACTTCTGGTTTTCTGGTGGTTTATTGGAGATAAGAGTTTCACGGACTTTCTTGCTTGGGCTGGCTTTGAACTGTGATACTCAGATCTGAGCCTTCTGAATAGTTAGGATTATAGGCATGAGCCCCTGGTGCCCAGCTTCATATACAAAGTAAAATGCAGCATCTAAAATATTAGCTTCTTCATAGTCTTCAGGCTAGAGAAATTAAGTAGAAAGTCAGCTATACTTTTCTATGTCCAGAGAAATCCATGTCCTCAGAAATTAGGAAAATAGATCAAGCAGTGATTCAGATTTAATAAATGATCAAGCCTAAAAGCAAACTATAAGTGATCTGCATTAATAACTAAGATTAATAGATTTATTAAAGTACATACTTTAACCTTTACATGACAGTTTTTAAAAGCTTTGTATCTGACTGTTACCTCTGATGGTCTTATAATATGTCTCTTGCCTCTCGGAGCTTCAAAAAATAGTTGTTCTTTGGCACCTGAATTAACTTGCAATAATTTTCCTGTTAGGATACAAAGAAGGTGAAGACAATTAAAACTGTACATTATCTCTTTATTATAACATAAGAATGACTGTTACTACTTCTATTCATTTAAATCACATGACTTTGATTTGCTTCATTTGAATCACAGTCTCATAACTTGAATAATATATGCTAAATTACTTAGAAAGATATGTGAAAACGATTACCTGGTGTGATATAAACCCCAAAGCTATGATTTTCGGAATTTAACCTTGAACATCCTTCAAATAACAGATGATCAAGCTTGATACGTTTTACTCTGTTGTGTTGAAAACAGTTATGATTTTCCAAAGCCTGACAAAGTCTTTTTTTTTACTCCTTCCCCCTCCCCCACTCCTGTTGTCTTTTACAATACAGATGAAGTACAAACAACCCACTCTGGAAAGATGTACAGACTTAGAAGGTCTTTCTTGTGAGCATTGCATTTACTTAGGTCTAGTTTTTAAAACTGTCTTTTAGCAGTTGTACAAAGGAGTTGCCACTCAATTGTTTATGACAATGAGTTTTGGTTAATGTTGCCTTTTCGATTTAAATCTTAAATTGGCTAGAAACAGAATGAACATATTAAGTAAACAGCAATTCCTCATGCCTTTCTCATGTGCCTTACTTAAAAATTGGTAAAGAAATATAGACTTTCCTCAAACTAAATATTGAGAAAATAAAGTCTTTCAATCTGATATAAAACTATGATCTTAGATTCATCTTGATTGTTGGAAAATAGTAAGTCTTATAATTTTCTTCCAACAATGACAACTATCCTTTGTGTCTTAAAAATTGTAATGAGTCAAGACACGCACAGTATTTAATTTTTCAGAATTGTAATTATGGAAAATCAAGCAGATGTGCACATGAGATAGCACTAGGAATCTTTGTGTGCTTGCATCCAGCTTCAACGTTAAGAACTCGTAAACTCCCTTCCACAGACAGCTGCAGTCTGAGATTTTTAAAGCAAATCTCAGACACCAAAATATTTCATCTATAAATAACTCAATGTATGTATGTACACATATATGTGCATAAAATAACATTTCCTTCTTTTCCCTTTTATTACTATGTATTATATAGTAATCTAGTAATGTACTTCTTAGAAAAATATAGCTAAATAACTTTTCTTTACTTATATAATATTAATATTCAAGTAGGCACCACCAGCTCTAGAATCTAGCTAACCTTAAAGAAACAGGAATACTTTTAAGTGATGAACTGAAAAAAGGTTCTCTCACTGCTTTACTGACAATCCTAATCATTTCTAATTTGGTAAATTATTACATGACCGGGAGGAGGCTGCCTTGATCCTGAGGAAAAAAAAATGTGAAATTGTGTCTACTGAAATGGATATGCTTTGCTGATATTGTAGCAATATATATATATATATATATATATATATACATATATATATGTAAAAGGAATCTTAAATTATCTTTGCATTTTTATTATTTATTTTTATTATTTAGCATTAAAAGAAAATGGGTAGTCAATATTTTTTCTAGTGTAGTAAATATATCAATATTTTTAGGATCTTAAAAAGCTGGGCTGGGAATCTGGCTTAGTGGTAGAGTGCTTGCTTAGCATGCATGAAGCCCTGGGTTCGATTCCTTAGTACCACATACACAGAAAAAGCTGGAAGTGGCGCTGTGGCTCAAGTGGTAGAGTTAGCCTTGAGCAAAAAGAAGCTCAGAGACAGTGCTCAGGCCCTGATTTCAAGCCGTAGGACTAACAAAAAAAAAAAGTTAATTACAAATAAGGGCCAGGTGTATGGCTTGTACTTGAAATCCTATCCACTTGAGAAGCAAAGATCAGGAAGAATATGGTTCAAGAGCAGTCTGGGCAAAAAACTAGAGAGACTCACATCTCAACAAACACAAATTGGTGTAATACTTCATAGTCATAATCCCAGCTCAGCAGGAAACACAAGCCTAAGATTATGATCTGAGGCTAGCCCTAGGCAAAAAGTATGAGACCCTATAAAAGGAGCGGAGGGCTGGAGATATGACAAATCCTAGAGCCTACCTAGCAATACAAGGCCTTAGTACAAGGCCTTAGTACACACACACACACACACACACACACACACACACACACACCACACACACACACACACACACACACACACACACACACACACAGGCTTAGTGAGATGGTTTCTGTTTACAGAAAGAGAATCAGCACCGAGACAAGCACCAGAAATGCAACAGAGTGCTGTAGACAACGTGTGGCCTGTGCCCCTTGCCTGTTACCTGACCCTACAGAGGGTTTGTTTCCCTGTGGAGGCAGATGCTGACCTAGGAAGGCCTTGGCTCCAACTGGGCTTTCTCCCTCCTGGGAAGCTGGAAGCAAGCAGGCTGAGTCAATGTGTGCCTGGCTGGGGTCACATGTGGACTTTGTGACTAAGGGTGGCATTTGGGGACTGCTAAAACTGAACCACTGCAAATGAATTAGGGAAAACCCTTTTGTTCAAACAGTGTCCAAAGGCAGTCACGAGACTTGGCTCAGGGTGTTTTCCAGTCCATTCCAAAAACTGGTTCCAACTCTTGTATTCTACCAGACAGCCTAGATCTTTCCAATAAATCCAGTTTTTCATTATTATTTTAAAATATAAACTAGTTTGAAGGGTGGGAGAAGGTCTGTTGCTTGTAACCTAAGATATAAATTTCAAAAATATCCAACAAATTATTCTTGTGCTAGAAAGGAATAATTATGGGTATGGTTCTTTTTCCCCCTGAAATTTTCTTTACTACTATTATTATACTGTCTTTTTTTAAGAGAAAATATTTAGGTCACTGTTATTTTTTCCTGCTGCCTGCTGCTTTCTTGTGCTCTCTGTCTGTCTGTCTATCTCTCTCTCTGGTCTGTGCATGTGTGCAAACTTCTGAGAACAGAGAGAGAAGGAATTGTTTCATATCTTTTAACCACACAGAAGTTGTTATTCCACAAAGTGAGTCTCATACATTGTTCCAATTACTGCATAATGTACCAGTTAGAATAATCCTATAATTCATCTACCACTGATTATACTTATCAAGGCATCTGCAATAGAAATGTGAATGAAGTGTCCTGAGACGGATCCCAGTGTTCATAGGTAAAAGATCTTCTGGTCCTGATATTTCTAGAAATGATCTTCCAGCATCTAGAAGTCATCCTTCTGTACATGTCTCTCTCCATGTGTTTTTCCTTTCTCTGCCATTCACAGGAGCTTTCATGTGGAGTAGCCAAGGTTCCCGCAAAAGCGGGATGTGCTTTTGGGTTTTCCTGGGCCCTGCCGTTGCCATGGGCACCAGGGCTGCTGAGGATGGGCTGCGGCTGCGCCATCCCCATCCGTGACGAGCCAGCTGGCTCTGGCAAAGGCTCTCACTGTTTCTGACAGGATCCGAGGAGGAAAACAGACCCTGCTTCTAGATTCTGCTCTGCCACCTGCCAGAGCCTGAAGATCCTTAATGTGCAAGGCGAGGCTGGTCTTGTCATGGCCTGGCACACTCAGGCCTCCTGGAACCTGGGTAGTCAGGATGACACGTGGCTCATGACACTGCAGTCAAGCATGGTGCCTGGGCACACCTGCTCTCATTCTCCACATGGTACAATCCACCCCCAGTACTGGAAGATCTCTATTTTACTCTCAAGATGTAGGCTTCACACCCTCCCTCCATTGAAGTGGCTCTTGGGACAAGAGTGGGGTTTTTTTCCCAAAGACCTCAGCTTTCTCCTGCTCTTCCTCTGAGCTGCAGGAGGCTGGTGTGCCTCTCCTCACCAAGGGTCAGTGCTGAGGCCCTGAACAGACCTTCACTCCAGCCTTCCCACAGCAGTGGGAAGCAGAGGATCCTAGCCAAGGTCTGCTGCTTTCCACCCTGGACTCAGGGTGCACCTGACACAGGGACTATAACTTGGCATAATCAAGACAACCAAATGCAAACTAACCCCCCAAATGCAAAGGAGTCACAATGAGATACTTCCTTATAATTATTAGAATGGCCCCTATCAACACAAAAAGAACAGTTTGAACTGTTGCTGGCAGCTCATGCCTATAATTCTAGCTACTCAGGAGGCTGTGTTCTGATGATTGAGGTTCAAAGCCACTCTGGGTGGGGATGTTGGTGAGACTCTTATCTCCAGTTAATCACATACACTCACACAAAGCTGGAAGTAGAGCTGTGGCTCAAGTAATAGAGCAGTAGCCTTGTGGTTCACACCTGTAATCCTAGCTACTAGGAAGCTGAGATCTGAGGATTTCGGTTCCTGCCTGGCTAGCCCAGGCAGGAAAGTCCGTGAGACTTTTCTCTAATAAACCACCAGAAAACCGGAAGTGGCATTGTGGCTCAAATGGTAGAGTGCTTGCCTTGAGGTGAAGAGCTGAGGGACAGCATCCAGGCCCAGTGTTCAAGCTCCATGACCGACAAAAACAAACAGCTCAGGGACAATGCCCAGGCCCTGAGTTTAAGCCCTAGGCTTATGCATGCGTGCATGTGTATATGTGTGTGTGTGCACGCGTGCATGCATGTACACATACAACACAAACACACAAGAACACTTTAACGAGGATGTGGAGAAATCGGAACCTTTTGTACTGTGAGAATGTAAGATGGTACAACTGCTATGGAAAACAGTAGATTCTCAAAAAATTACAAGCTTAAGTACCCTTGGGTACAGAAACTCCATCTTGGGGTATGTACCCCAAAGAAATGAGAACAGGATCTTTTTTTTTTTTTTGTCGGTCGTGGGGCTTGAACTCTGGGCCTAGGCGCTGTCCCTCAGCTCTTCAGCTCAAGGCGAGCGCTCTACCACTTGAGCTACAGCGCCACTTCCGGTTTTCTGGTGGTTTATTGGAGATAGGAGTC